GATACTGCATTGATACATGCATGTAGATTGTATGTTGCGTTGCCGTTAGTATATTGTAATATTATCAGTGACGTTGCCTACAGTAGGTAGGTAGCCAACATTAGCTGACAATCGCATTTTTTTACTTGTGTCAATCTTTATACCTACCTGCAAGCTAAAGACTGCAGCAGCTGTCGCCAGTGTAGGAGCACCTTTAGCATCTCCAGATCCATTAATTTCGTCGATATCTTCATAATTAACGAGCCAAAGATAGCAACCAGTTGCGAATTTCCCACTTGCATTTAGCAGACATTAGAAAGTAGGATGTAGAGTAGAGTAAAAAACTAGGGAAGCCCGGATGCGTAAATACATACCCTGATGCAACACAGACACCCATACTCTGTGTTGCATCAGGGTTTGTACAGCGTTCAGACGTACAAACCCTGATGCAACACAGAGCACTCGTACCATTTCTCCTTACAATTATATTAATTATGAGCATGAAAATGAGGATGAGCATGAAAATGGATACCAATGCTTATGGAAATGAACATGCGCATGGAAACGAGCATGCGCATGGAAACGAGCATGCGCATGGAAACGAGCATGCGCATAGAATCGAGCATGCGCATGGAACCGAGCATGCGTGTGGAAACGAGCATGCGTGTGGAAACGAGCATGCGCACTGAAATAGGCATGCGCATGAAAATAAGCATGCGCATCGAAATGAGCATGCGCACTGACATAGGCATGCGCATGAAAATAAGCATGCGCACTGACATAGGGATGCGCATCGAAATGAGCATGCGTACTGACATAGGCATGCGCATGAAAATAAGCAAGCGCACTGACATAGGCATGCGCATCGAAATGAGCATGCGTACTGACATAGGCATGCGCATGAAAATGAGCATGCGCACTGACATAGGCATGCGCATGAAAATGAGCATGCGCACTGACATAGGCATGCGCATGAAAATGAGCATGCGCACTGACATAGGCATGCGCATCGAAATGAGCATGCACACTGACATAGGCATGCGCATGAAAATGAGCATGCGCACTGACATAGGCATGCGCATGAAAATGAGCATGCGCACTGAAATAAGCATGCGCATCAAAATGAGCATGCGCACTGAAATTGGCATGCGCATGAAAATAAGTATGCGCATGGAAATGAGCATGCGCACTGAAATAAGCACGCGCATGAAATTAAGCATGCGCATCGAAATGAGCACTGAAATAAGCATGCGCATGAAATTAAGCATGCGCATCGAAATGAGTATGCGCACTGGAATAGGCATGCGAATGAAAATGAGCATGCACACTGACATTAGGCATGCGCATCGAAATGAGCATGCGCACTGAAATAGGCATGCGCATGAAAATAAGTATGCGCATCGAAATGGGCATGCGCACTGAAATAGACATGCGCATGAAAATAAGCATGCGTATCGAAATGAGCATGCGCAGTGCACACTGATATAGGCATGCGCATGAAATTATGCATGCGCATGGAAATGAGCATGCGCACTGAAATAGGCATGCGCATGAAAATAAGCATGCGCATCGAAAGGAGCATGCGCATTGAAATAGGCATGCGCATGAATATAAGTATGCGCATGGAAATATAATGCGCATCGAAATGAACATGCGCATGGAAATTAGTATGCGCTCTGAAAAGTAGGAACCAAATGATAGGCTGGGATAATAAAGTACTAAAATTTAGTTGTTTTTGCTCTACGACGCTCTGTTATCGAGATAATTGGACTTTTAGTTTGCATTCGTTTTTTTTTAGAAATCGTTACTTTATTGAGATATGATGCTACAGAGGCGTAGGACGCTACGGAGGCGTTGGACTTTATGCATGTGTCGGACGATACAGACGCGTCGGACGCTACGGAGGCGACCGACGCTATGAAAACGTCGGACTTTATGGAAACATTGAACGCTGTAGATGGTCGGGGTTTCATTAGACGCTATGGAGGCTTTAGGCACTATGGAGGCGTCGGACGCTATGAAGGCGTTGGACGCTATGTGAGACAGGGTAAGTCGTGCGATGATTGTGTTCCGAATAAGGGATTGATTTTAGGTTTCAGATGGTCAAACATAAAAATTTCAATAAGAGTACGAAAATACAGCTATTTTTGCTCTCCGACGCTCCGTTTTCGAGATAATTGCACTTTTAGTTTGCATTCGTTTTAATATTAGAAATCGTTACTTTATTGAGATATGATGCTACAGAGGCGTAGGACGCTACGGAGGCGTTGGACTTTATGCACGTGTCGGACGATACAGAGGCGTCGGACGCTACGGAGGCGACCGACGCTATGAAAACGTCGGACTTCATGAAAACATTGATGATCGTTTGTTTGCAAAACAAATCACGCCCATATTCGGTTTACAATCATCCCATGACTTACCCTGTCTCACATAGCGTCGAACGCCTCCATAGCCTCTAATGTCTCCATAGCGAGCGACGACTCTATACCACCTGACGCCTCCATAGCGTCTCTACAGAGCTCAATCCCTATCCTCTACGGAGTTCAATGTCTCCATAAAGACTGACGATTCCATAGCGTCCGACGCCTCCGTATCGTCCGACACGTCTATAACGTCCAACGCCTCCGTAGCGTCCAACGCCTGCGTAGCATCATAATTATCTCAATAAAGTAACGATTTCTTATATAAAAACGAATGCAAACTAAAAGTGCAATTATCTCGGAAACGGAGCGTCGTAGAGCAAAAATAGCTCTGTTTTCGTACTCTCATTGAAAAATGAATTTTGACAGCCTTAAATCGAAAATAAGTCCCCTGTTTGATACACATTTTGCGACTTTGGACATTTTGCGACTTTGGACATTTTGCGACTTTGGACATTTTGCGACTTTGGACATTTTGCGACTTAGGACATTTTGCGACTTTGGACATTTTGCGACTTTGGACATTTTGCGACTTAGGACATTTTGCGACTTTGGACATTTTGCGACTTTGGACATTTTGCGACTTAGGACATTTTGCGACTTAGGACATTTTGCGACTTTGGACATTTTGCGACTTTGGACATTTTGCGACTTTGGACATTTTGCGACTTAGGACATTTTGCGACTTAGGACATTTTGCGACTTAGGACATTTTGCGACTTTGGACATTTTGCGACTTTGGACATTTTGCGACTTTGGACATTTGCGACTTTGGACATTTTGCGACTTTGGACATTTTGCGACTTAGGACATTTTGCGACTTAGGACATTTGCGACTTTGGACATTTTGCGACTTAGGACATTTTGCGACTTTGGACATTTTGCGACTTTGGACATTTTGCGACTTAGGACATTTGCGACTTAGGACATTTTGCGACTTTGGACATTTTGCGACTTTGGACATTTTGCGACTTTGGACATTTTGCGACTTAGGACATTTTGCGACTTAGGACATTTTGCGACTTAGGACATTTTGCGACTTTGGACATTTTGCGACTTAGGACATTTGCGACTTTGGACATTTGCGACTTTGGACATTTTGCGACTTAGGACATTTTGCGACTTTGGAAATTTTGCGACTTTGGACATTTGCGACTTAGGACATTTTGCGACTTAGGACATTTTGCGACTTTGGACATTTTGCGACTTTGGACATTTTACGACTTTGGACATTTTGCGACTTTGGACATTTTGCGACTTAGGACATTTTGCGACTTTGGACATTTTGCGACTTTGGACATTTTGCGACTTTGGACATTTTGCGACTTTGGACATTTTGCGACTTTGGACATTTTGCGACTTAGGACATTTTGCGACTTAGGACATTTGCGACTTTGGACATTTTGCGACTTAGGACCTTTTGCGACTTTGGACATTTTGCGACTTTGGACATTTTGCGACTTAGGACATTTTGCGACTTAGGACATTTGCGACTTTGGACATTTGCGACTTTGGACATTTTGCGACTTTGGACATTTGCGACTTAGGACATTTGCGACTTAGGACATTTTGCGACTTAGGACATTTGCGACTTTGGACATTTGCGACTTAGGACATTTTGCGACTTTGGACATTTTGCGACTTTGGACATTTTGCGACTTAGGACATTTGCGACTTTGGAAATTTTGCGACTTTGGACATTTTGCGACTTAGGACATTTGCGACTTAGGACATTTACGACTTTGGACATTTTGCGACTTTGGACATTTTACGACTTTGGACATTTTGCGACTTTGGACATTTTGCGACTTAGGACATTTTGCGACTTAGGACATTTTGCGACTTAGGACATTTTGCGACTTTGGATTTGGCTAAATATTGCTAAGTTGTCTGTGCTGCATCAGGGTTTGTTGCATGTTTTGATGTACACACCCTGATGCAGCACAGACAGGGGGCTGTCTGTACTGCATCAGGGTTTGTATTGTCGCAGCCCGCGTACCCAATAAAATGGTTTTGATTACAAATTGCTAATACATTTTTCAAAATAGTTAGTAATGATGTACAAACGCGTACAACTAGTTTCAAATTGCAACTAATATATTAGTCTGGTGACAGGTTCGACTAGAAAATGAATGTCATTTTTTAGCTACTCAAAATGGCTTCTTATCATGCCTTCTAATTCTAACAAATGTTTCTGACAAACTTATTTGCGAATATCTTCATTCACAGCTCATTGACATTCACGGAATACTAGTTGGTAAAAACCCACAGAACAGGTATCCCGCGGGTTGCAGGCTGTAAAGAACATCCGTAAAGCAAATGAAGGAGCGGGGTCAAGCGGTTCAAGAGCTATTTACCAAACAGTGGGGCTAGATGCGCCGGCGCACGTACATGCAGGGGGAAAAGTGAATCCCGTACGTAATTTCCATGGCAATTAAAATCTTGCCAAGACAAGAGCAGTGCAAATGCACTGCAAAAAAAATTATACAGAGCTCACGCAGAGCCAAGTTTATGAATCTATATGTCCTACTCTGTAAGCTGTAACTTCATAAACTATACAATCATAAATTAAATAATGAGAAAATTGAAAAATTCACTAGCGACCGCCGGGACTTGAACCCGGCACTGTGGATAAACGTTCCACCGCTCTACCGACTGAGCTACGGGCGCCTAGCGGACCCAAGTGAATCTTTCAACCTCTTGATGCTCGTCTCGAAGCGACGATTAAGCGACATCTAGTAGTAGTTTTTACAACTAAATACTTTGGTTAGTCCACGTTACAGTAGGAATTCAAACCATATGATGAAGCTTTTTGCTTAAACCAATGTAGGTACTGGAATTTTTAATGCACTCACAGCGCTCTACAATCATCTTCATCAAAATGTATTTACCTATGGTTTAGCCATTTTGTACTGTCACAAAGATCTTTGCTTCGCCTTTTGTGCTACCTACACAAATGTCTAGCTTAGTAGGGCACATTTTTACTGTAATTTAGGAGTTCGCCGCTGTAGTTAGAAAGTCAGAAGCGTTGGTCTACATCAGATCACAATGTGATATCTCTTCACAAAATGAAAAATTTAAAACATTTTGTTGCCGACAGTAAACGCCTATTCTCACTGCACCTGACCAGCTTGCATAGCTGGGCTGCAGTATGCTCTTCTGATTATCATTCAGACGCCACTCGCTGCGGAGAACTCGGAGTTCTGACGGACAGACTGACGGGGCATACGTAAACCAAACAGGAATTAGTCACAGGAGCTTTTTACCATAACAGACGACTCGTGCCGACGCTTATGATAATACCTCTAGTTTTAGTACTTACCCACCTGGAATTTTGAAAAAAGTCACGTTTGGTATCTATTAAGGAATATTAAATGATTCTAGGTAGAGGCTATTTCACTGCAGTATACCTAAAATGGGACGTCGAAGTGTGATAGATAAGTATATTATAGCGTTGTGTTTGATGCCCTCCGGCTAGAAAGACTGATGACTGGAAGAGGATGGCTGGTAGCGACTGGTAGGCGAAAACGGGATCGTGCCTAATGGCGTACCCTGGGAGACATAATATGTCGAACAATGGACTATTATAAACTGATGTAAATGATTATTTATCAATCTTAGGTAGAGGATAACCTTAGGTAGATTATAAGTTTAGGTACCTAGTTTTTACAATAGGCGTAAAGCAGTTTATGATCATAATTTTGAAATGTCTTCTAATCGCAATACAAAAGTAATTACTCGTCTATTTCAAGATACCATTTCAGATTCGGATTTTTCCAGACAATTATCTTAAACCGTGAAATCAGTTCTGTCACCGTATAATACAAATTAGTTCTAAACACGAAAAAATGTTCTCGATTCTAACAGGACACTTCTTAGCAAATTCTTAGTCTTATCTATTACTGAAATAAACAAAAATACAAACAAGAGACACGAAATCTATGGCTTTCTCAGCCATAATTTTCGCCTTAGTTAGTTTTCTCATAATTACCAAACTCCAATGACTTTGCTCTCATTATTGTGACCCCCTTATTCATCATCATCAAACAAATGACCAAGTGATTGAAAGACTGATTTTCCTCTCCCTTTATAGCTTAGTTTAAACTGGGTCTGCTCATCAGGTCTTGAAACGACTCTGTGTCCCACTCGAAAAGAAAAAGGTATTTGCCTAAATAACTACCAAATTACCTACTAAACATTTGCGAAGTCAATGTGTTGCCAGAATCAAGTATAATATAAATATTTGATTAAATAATGAACCGTGATTTGACGGGCCGTTTTTGTTAAGGCAATAGGAAACCTAGCATGACCTAATGGTTGACCTAATGGGTCATTTGATACGGTAGTTTTAAAGCGTGAAGAATTTTAACCTTTATCTAGATTTCCTGAATCCATCTACAGCCTGGAGATAAAATTGTAAATAATACTGGGGTATATATAGGGTAATAGCCCTCCGAATACTGATAGGGTGCTATTGCAACTGATAGATAACACATAGAAAATGTTCAACGTTCCTCTATGAACATAAGTCAGGAAACGAGAAAAAAAAGTCGACCTCCCATAACTACAAAATCCCGATCAGATGACTGAATTTACTCAAAGTAAAAAATCGAAAAAAACATGTCTTCTGAAATATTCTCTGGGAAATTATTCATGGTCTGTATATCAGTAAGTATTCGGAGGGCTGTCCCTTACCACAGCCCTTACACCCCGTATACTTCTATCTCGTACTTGACGCGCACTTTCTATTATTTAAACCTCCAAATGAAAGGAAACGAGGACTACCTACATACCTAAACGAGTCGTGATTAAAATGTGGCGTGAGTAAATAAGTCATTTATTTACCTACTTAATTGCTCATTATTTAGACATGCTTAGCTTAAAAGCATTTAATTTTTTTTGCATTATTAAATACGTACGTAACGGTTCTTAATTAGGTCTATCTACACGTTAACATAAATTATCTATAAAATTTTATTTGCTTATTCAGAGTGTTAGAAAAAACTGCACTCCTTTCAAGGAGTGAACTAGATTATAAACTTGATCAACTTTTCCCAAGGACGAGTTGGGAAAATCAACTTTTGGATTTCCCATGCAATAAAATAGCTTAGGTACATTTCTGCAGTTGTTCCGGTTCATCATCTGCCGGGCTAGCATGTGCCCTGTAGGTGCCTGTAGAGACTTATCACGCGTGTCAGAGTTCAAAAGTGTTAAATTGCATGGAATTTATGAAAACCAGGAAAGAATTTGGACATACAGGTATAGAGAATGCTAAGGGGGCTGGTCTTGCCTTGAAAGGTACCAAATTATCTTTTATACAATTAACAAAATAGTTATTAAACTTCGTCTAATCAGAAACTAGAGAGTCTAGCTTGAGTACCATACCTAAATCTTCTTGGAAATTAATCACAACTATCACAAGTGCGTAAAGTGTTCAGTGAAAACGAGCGGCTCTTTTGAAGTTGAGTTGAGATAGGTATGTAGGTAGGTAGACAACGTGGCACAGCACAGATTTTCCACGTTAAGGGATCAACTTAAAATGCTTTAACTTACAACCCATAAGTGATCCAGTACAGATTGACCCCCTAAAGGAGCAATTGGATTTGCTGCTGATGTACATCATCATCTTCCTGCCCTTATCCCAATTACTTGGGGTCGGCGCAACACGTTTCGTTGAACACAAAATCGTGTTACAAAAGGATTTGGCGGAATTTTACGATCGGCCGCCTACCAGACGTCAATTCTCCTTGGGAATGCTTTTGTGTTGGATAAACCGCCACCATACGGTTGGCCCTGGCTGTTTGGTCGGATTGGTTTAACATACAACCCATAAGTGATCCAGTACAGGTTGACCCCTTATAGGAGCAATTGGATTTGCTGCTGATGTACACAAATCATGAAGTCTGCTAAAGATGGTGTAAATGGAAAATTGATTTCTTGTAGAGTCAGGCGGAGAAGTTCTGATTGAAGTAAAACTCTTCATGGCGATGTAGGTACCTATTTACGTGTAATAAAAGTCACATCTTCACTTTCATTCTTAACCCTTGTTCCTAACAAAGATTTTGTAGAAATGCAATGGTACGTCAAAGATGTTATTATTAGTTTATTACAATTTGAAAGTGTCAGAGATATTTTAGATACTTGTACCTATTCAAGGTACCTATTATTATAGGTTCTATCTAAGTTGATATCCACGTTTAGGGAGACAATTTTAAAACTAATTTGACCGGGCTTAATTGATAACTTTTTAAAGGCAATACCGCAATACTTTGTAAAAGATAATCACCTCTTTAGAACTGTCCCTTCCAATACAAAAGTAAAAGTGAGTAACAAACGCAACAGGCGGTACAGTACGGCACTATAAACAGTATGATGAATGAAACTACAATTTCGAATCAATTTATTGCCTTTAACTGAATACTATGAGGGGTATCGCAAACGCACCGAATGATTTTGCGATTCGTGTTAAGGAACATAGATTAGATATACCCGGTCGCATTATAGTTACTGTTTTTAGCCGTTTCACAATTAGGCAGTTTTCAGATTGGCGGTTTGGCAGATTCGCAGGTTTTCAGATTGGCAGATTTAAAGGAATCGGCAAGGAGTGTAGCGGCTCTACCAAAATCTTTTTCTTCCTAGCGTTGGTCCTGCCTTGAGATGGGATCCGCTTCTGCATTTCCGTTTTCAGTACGCTCTGTCTTGGACGTGTTCTCCTTTTAACGGTTCTACCAAATAATATCTTTAAAAACGAGAAAAAAATTGAAAGGGTCCTTTTACACCGTTGACTGACAACGGCTGAAAACAGTTGCATCCTGTACTGACATGATACTTACAGCGTGGGACAGCCGCAATCTGATGTGATGACGTATCGTATACCATGATATTCGATTTTTGTAATGCATAATGCATGTCAAAAACTTCTTTTGTCAAAAATCAGACTTCGTAAAAATTGCAAAATCATGCAGCGCATGTGAAAACCACCGAACGATTACCGAGGGAAAGTGGAATGGGAACTATCCCGTTGGAGATTTATCGTCGATCCTGTCCAAAGATCTGTGCGAAAGTTGTCAAAGAGACGACAATTGCAGCTTTACCCAGTGTTTAAATTGGATATCAATCGGTTTCAATAGTTATGTCGATTGTTATCTGGATTTGATGGAGAAATTGATTGTATGAACTGTGTTAAATGTATCATATTGAACCGTTTCTGAAATTACTTAATGTTTATTTATTTTTAATAGCTCTACCAAAACCTTCACTGAAAACTTCTCCTATACCTACCTTCCTACAGCTAAAGCGAATCAAGTTTTATTTTATTCTACATCTAAACTCGAGGTTTGGTACTCAGAGCTTGAGCTCTACCATGGAGGAAACATACTAGCTATATAAGTTGTATATTTCCTCCATGGCTCTACTAACTCTAAAAGACAGCTCTCCGAACTCTAAAGAGCATTCAGACCATGAAAGGGAACAAGTCTCCATAGAAAATATTTCAGAGCACTTAAAACAATTGGCTTCCCGTAGTATCATCTCCTGAAATATTTTGTTATGGGAAGTTGTTCAATTTCATGGTCTGAATTCTTATCAGTATTCGGAGAGCTGTTACACCCCTTATTACCAAGGGTGTACTATTTTTACTGAAAAGCTAGTTTTTCATGGAGGGAAATATC